ATGAAGAATATTTGGAATTTCTTTTATGAGACTTATTTACGAGAGTTAAGACAATTCCCCACTCAACGGGGTCCAGAAACAAGCCTACAACCAGTAGTGGATCAGATTGTCTTTCTAAAGAAAAATTCTTTCAAAGAAAACGCTCCTCTCAATAGATTGAAATGGAGACTTGCCAGAATAGTCAGTCTTCATGAAAGCCCAAGGGATGGTAGAATTAGATCTGTGGATGTTGAGACTACGAGAACTAACCCTGACGGGTCTTGTGCAAAATTCTTATTGAAAAATCAGTCAGTTCAAAACCTGGTGCCCCTAGAAGCAGACTCTGAGACAACAGAAAAGAAATTCCTAACCAGCCTTGGAAGTTTTGTGAGCAAGAAACCATGAACAAGCAATTGAAGTTCAAAAGACTTTTATTAAACAAAACTGTGCAAAACATGATTACAAAAACCCTTCAACCAAAAGAGAGACCCTTCACAAAAACACAATTCCGCCAAAAAATGGGGGAGTTCTTTAAACATAACGAGAAAGAGATGTCATATCCGCAAACTCTAGACCTCCCTCTCCCACAACCCAGGCCTTGTCCCCTACTTTTGATATTATGAATTTTCTTTGAGAGGAGTTTCCAATTTGAACGGATGATCCCACGACGAAACGTCCAGACACAGCTCTCTTGGGGTCCAAGCACAAGAAGTCCGCAGAGAAGACCTCCAGGAACATCTTCTGACTTAAGATCTCGTCCATCCTGAAAGGGAGAAAAGAAAAACATTGTAAATACTGAATTTAAAACCACCAGTTTTTCGAGAGACTTACTGCCTGAAAGGATCACCTCCCGATCCAATAACTGCCAGGTTGATATGGAAAGGTCCATTCCCAAAACACTCCTTGGGACCATGATCCATAGAATGATGATGAGGTAGTCCTGAGGGAATCCCTGGAGCAGTTTTCCCACTGTCCAGCCAATATGGGCAGCTACCAGCACAAGCAAATGCCCCCCAAGTTTTGTTCAGACACTGGGTCCACTCCAACCCAAAGCAAATAGCCGCAGCATGAAGCTGGGCAAAAAACAGATAGGCCCGAGTGTGTATGTGGCCAAAGGACAACTTTGTACGATCTGACCTATCAAAAGCAGCAAGATGCCTAACCAGAGTCGGTACTGCCCACCATCCCTTCCCGCTTGCAGCCCCTTGCCTCTTCCCGATTTTAGTTTTTAAACCATTGTATAAGGCCATCTGAAAAGCATGACCGGCGCTTTCACGCCCTCTTTGACTCAAAATTGGAACCCCGTTATTCCTAAGGGGAATTAGAGGAACCCCTTGGAAGTCCAAATCCATCTTTTCTGTCAAATATGTATTACTCCCTTGTGCTAACGCAGGGGGAGCAGAAGCCCCCAAAGCCAGGACTGGCGCATCAAAAGCACGAGAAAGTTAATCAAAATACCCATAGAGGGCTTGAAGAAAATGTCCAAAATTGGGATAATGACAAATGACGTCAGGTTCAGTTAAATTCTTTAAATCGTTAGTCCCCACTCTAACAAAAACATGGGTAAAACGAAAGGAAGAACTCAAATGTAGATCCGGGTACACTCTGTTACGCATTTCCTCAGGAGAAACCACTTGTCCCTCTCCAACCAAAGCAGACCATCCACTTAACGAGTACTGAAAAGAAAATGAAAGAAAAATCATTGAAATCTCGTGTTCCAAAAGGAGAACTTGCAAAAGAATGTTTTATTCCTCTACCTGATACAACTCTATGCCCCTCCCAGCAAGAAGATGTTCAAAGTCAAAAACCGCTCTGGTTGTGGCCTTTTCGGGTCGAATGTTATCACAAAACGTATTGTGCCCTTCAGACAGTCTCCAAGGAACAGTTAAGGAAGTGCCAAGAAGTAAAACACAAGGGCCTTTTCCTGAATTTTTCAATTTTGCCCCTTGATGACGATTTTGGGGTGAACCATATGTGTAGTNATTCTGCAATAAAAGAGACGTTCAACCCTCAGTGTTAATTTCAGACAACGCAGCTACATTTAAAGCTGCTTGGCCACTAATCTTACGGGCAAAACATATGCAAATCGAAAATAGAATTAAAGGTATCCAATGGCATTTTAACGCCTCCAGAGCTCCCTGGTGGGGAGGTCTCTATGAAAGAATGATGCGCCTAATTAAAGATAGACTGGCAAGAGTATTCAAGGGACTGCCTTACAAAAGTCCTAATGCACTAATGGCAGCTCTTTCCTACATCAAAAGACTAATAAACTCTAGGCCATTAACTTACATTTCTGACGACAGAGACGATCCTATGCCTGTAACACCCTCTATGTTTATCAATCCTTATCAGGCAGATCCCTCTTTTAATCCCCTACTGTATGGGCCCCCTCCTGTTCAGTTTCTGGAAGGATCCAAAATTGGTCTTGGCCATGCTGCCAAACACAGGATTAAACTTATGAAGAATATTTGGAATTTCTTTTATGAAACTTATTTACGAGAGTTAAGACAATTCCCCACTCAACGGGGTCGAGAAACAAGCCTACAACCAGTAGTGGATCGAATTGTCTTTCTAAAGAAAAATTCTTTCAAAGAAAACGCTCCTCTCAATAGATTGAAATGGAGACTTGCCAGAATAGTCCATCTTCATGAAAGCCCAAGGGATGGTAGAATTAGATCAGTAGATGTGGAGACTACGCGAGCCAACCCTGACGGGTCTTGTACAAAATCCTTATTAAAGAATCAGTCAGTTCAAAACCTGGTGCCCCTAGAAGCAGACTCTGAGACTACAGAAAAGAAATTCCTAACCAACCTTGGAAGTTTTGTGAGCAAGAAACCATGAAAACAAGCAATTGGGGTTCAAAAGACTTTTATTAAACAAAAACTGTGCAAAAGATGATTGTAAAAAACCCTTCAACCAAAAGAGAAACCCTTCACAAAACACAATTCTGCCGAAAAAATGGGAGAGTTCTTTAAACATAACGAGAAAGAGATGCCATATCCGCAAACTCTAGACCTCCCTCTCCCACAACCCAGGCCTTGTCCCCTACTTTTGCTATTATGAATTTTCTTTGAGAGGAATTTCCGACTCAAACTGATGATCCCACAACAAAATGTCCAGACACAGCTCTCTTGGGGTCCGAGCACAAGAAATCTGCAGAGAAGACCTCCAGGAACATCTTCTGACTTAAGATCTCGTCACCGCAAACTCTAGACCTCCCTCTCCCACAACCCAGGCCTTGTCCCCTACCTTTGCTATTATGAATTTTCTTTGAGAGGAATTTCTGACGCGAACTGATGATCCCATGACGAAACGTCCAGACACAGCTCTCTTGGGGTCCGAGCACAAGAAATCTGCAGAGAAGACCTCCAGGAACATCTTCTGACTTAAGATCTCGTCCATCCTGAAAAGGAGAAAAGAAAACATTGCAAATACTGAACTTAAAAACCACCAGTTTTTTGAGAGACTTACTGCCTGAAAGGATCACCTCCCGATCCAATAACTGCCGGGTTGATATGGAACGGTCCATTCCCAAAACACTCCTTGGGACCATGATCCGTGGAATGATGATGAGGTAGTCCAGGGGGAATCCCTGGAGCAGTTTTTCCACTGTCCAGCCAGTACGGGCAGCTACCAGCACAAGCGAATGCCCCCCAAGTCTTGTTCAGACACTGGGTCCACTCCAACCCGAAGCAAATAGCCGCAGCATGAAGCTGGGCAAAGAACAGATAGGCCCGAGTATGTATGTGGCCAAAGGACAGCTTTGTACGATCTGACCTATCAAAAGCAGCAAGATGCCTAACCGGAGTCGGCACTGACTGGAGCAGTTTTCCCACTGTCCAGCCAATATGGGCAGCTACCAGCACAAGCAAATGCCCCCCAAGTTTTGTTCAGACACTGGGTCCACTCCAACCCGAAGCAAATAGCCGCAGCATGAAGCTGGGCAAAAAACAGATAGGCCCAAGTATGTATGTGGCCAAAGGACAACTTTGTACAATCTGACCTATCAAAAGCAGCAAGATGCCTAACCGGAGTCGGTACTGCCCACCATCCCTTCCCGCTTGCAGCCCCTTGCCTCTTCCTGATTTTAGTTTTTAAACCATTGTATAAGGCCATCTGAAAAGCATGACCGGCGCTTTCATGCCCTCTTTGACTCAAAATTGGAACCCCGTTATTCCTAAGGGGAATTAGAGGAACCCCTTGCAAGTCCAAATCCATCTTTTCTGTCAAATATGTATTACTCCCTTGTACTTGCCTTTTTCCGATTTTAGTCTTTAAACCATTATATAAGGCCATCTGAAAAGCATGACCGGCGCTTTCGCGCCCTCTTTGACTCAAGATTGGAACCCCGTTATTTCTAAGAGGAATTAGAGGAACCCCTTGCAAGTCCAAATCCATCTTTTCTGTCAAATATGTATTACTCCCTTGTGCTAACGCAGGGGGAGCAGAAGCCCCCAAAGCCAAGACTGGCGCATCAAAAGCATGAGAAAGTTCATCAAAATACCCATAGAGGGCTTGAAGAAAATGTCCAAAGTTGGGATAATGACGAATGACGTCAGGTTCAGTCAAATTCTTTAAATCGTTTGTCCCCACTCTAACAAAAACATGGGTGAAACGGAAGGAAGAACTCAAATGAAGATCCGCGTATACTCTGTTACGCATTTCCTCAGGAGAAACCACTTGTCCCTCTCCAACCAAAGCAGACCATCCACTTAACGAGTACTGAAAAGAAAATGAAAGAA